AGGCAGAAAGACGTGCAAATATTTGATGGACCTTTCGCTGATATCACAAGTCTCAGACAACCTAACAACTTCGGCAAATAAATTATGGCGATTTAAGACTGGAAAGCCAATTTTACGGTACCCTTATGCTAAGATTGCTATCAGGAAAAACACAAAGGACCACTTCCTGCTATCATGCACCCTATATCAACAGGAAAGAAAACCACTGGAAGACTATTTCTAAAACCAAATAGGTCCTGCCATCCAAGGAATGCTTACAAGCTGATAGTAATGAAAACATACAGAAAATAAAAAAAATTCATTTGCAGGACATGCAAAAATATTTCCATATAGACCATTGGTTCTCAACCTTCGCAATGCCAGGTCTTTTTAATACAGTGTTGTGTTGTTGTTGTTGTTGTTGTTGTTGTTGTTGTTGTTGTTACTTCATAACTTCAGCGAATACCTGTTTTCCGATGGTCTAGGGCGATCTGTATAAAAGGGTCGTTCGACGCTCAGAAGAGTGGCGAGCCATAGGTTGAGAACCATTGCTACAGACACAGATATGATAAGATAGAGACGTTGATGTAAGAAAGGGAACTGAAGAAGATACGAATTAGAAGTGATCTCATTTGTTCACTGTTGTATAACTGTCGACACCTGTGGTTGACGGAGTCTTGATCTCATTTTTTGACTGTTGTATAACTGTCGACACATGTGGTTGACGGAACGTTGATCTCATTTGTTCACTGTTGTATAACTGTCGACACCTGTGGTTGACGAAACGTTGATCTCATTTGTTCACTGTTTTATAACTGTTGACACTTGTGGTTGACGGAACGTTGATCTCATTTGTAAGCTGTCGTATAACTGTCGACACATGTCGTTGACGGAGCGTTGATCTCATTTGTTCACTGCTATAGTCAATACAATACTTTGGTGAAGTGGTGCTGAAAGCATGGGAACATAAAACCACTACATGAGAAATTTGCTGTCTCTGCAAGGTAACTAACTATACAAGAAAAGACACGAATACCATCATTAAAAAGAAAGTTAGAAAAAGACCGTGTCTGAATTATATTGACAGACAAGGAATGAAATGGTTAAGCCATCTAGTGAGAATGCAGCCAGACCAAACCGCATATAAGACTTTTTTTACAACAGAACGTTTGGAAGGAATGCGGGAGGAAGACCAGCAAAGAGATGAACAAATACATCACCCAAGCCACCAGAGAAACGCAAGAGAACGACAGAAAACCACGACACTGGGCTACAACCAGGTAACAGTGAGACGATCTAAGAAGAAGTGCTGAAAGCTGAGAAAAGGCAAAGAACACTTAAAGATTGTTCGGTGCTGTAAGAGCTAGTGCCAAAATGTTTGGGTATTTACCGGCCATGAAACGATACATGATCTAATGCTGCTTCTTTTGCTTTTGATTTTTATAAAGAGTTCCAGAACAGACAGGAGACAGATGTAGCAACATTTCTTTTTAAGGATGCCTACAATAGAGTCAGATCTAATATTTTCATGCCTGCACTCATTGCGAAGCTGGTCTGTGAATTGGATAGCAGCTGTCCTGCATTCACATATGGTTGCTCTTTGCCTGGACACATAGACCTCAGAACCATGGAATACAGCCCCGTGACTACCCCAGGGTTATGCAACTTCACTGGTGCTCTTTAATGTGTATACAAGCAAGATTGCAAAAGTTGAAGCACCAGGTGTTAGAAAGATATTTATATTTGCTGATGATGTTCTTGCATATAGGCAATGGAATGATAGACAACAGATAGCCCAAGAGCTGCAGGCAACTGTAAACAAAGTGATTGACTGGTGAGCAGAAACGGGTACGGTCATCAGCTCAGAAAATTCGGCTGGTTTGTGCTGCGCACTGGACAATAAATAGACTTTTGACTATTAACAGTTTATATTCCAAGCCACACGGTTAATAACAGTAACATCAAAAGAAAAAACAAACTAGGGACCACGTGGAAGCAGTTGCCGTAAAATGCCAACAAGGACATAATTCTCTCAAGATTAGGCCAGCAACAGACATAGAACAAAGAATGTATTATGTATGTGATACATACTTCCACTGCCTACTATTGCAGACAGGCTCTTAGTTATGCAGGCTATGATATACCTCAGAGTAGCTGCAGACAAGAAGCACCTCCTGCATGAAGCCCTTGGTAGAGCTAAGGGTCACAAACTGAAAAGAGGAAAGTCTTGGATGGCGCAAGCTGAAGACACAATCAGACATGTGTGCAGGCTTGATAAATTTAAGCAAGGAGAACAGTGGATCCTGATTGTCCGAGCACGTTTTAGACTTGTGTAGGATTCTAATCATGTTATGTCGTGAGTGCAGGGACTGACCAGCTGGTGCTGCAGAATCAGAAGTTCAACAAATGATTCATGACTAGTCCCGCCTAGGTGATATGATTATCAATACAGATGGCTCTGTGTTGAGGGGTAGACTAAGTGCATGGGAGTTCATAGCAAAAGCGAATGGGCGTCGCTTAGTGCATCAAAGCCTGGCATATGATATCATAACGTCTAGTTTGATAAGAATAAACTCCACAGGGGAGCATGTACAGCAGAGGTCTACCAATCATTAGTAGAAGTAATCTTTCGTCGACAAATGTTTAGGCCCACGAGCTCCTATACATTTTCAGAGAGTGGGCCCACCTGAGTTCATGAAGCTCAGGGTTGGTTTCCCCTGCTGCACGCATTACCGGATGTTGATCGGATAGGGACAAGACGAATTGGTGATTTTGCAGAAGGTACTGTCAGATAAGAAGTCGTCGCGGTAGCATAATTAAAGCAGTCTGCATACCTGAACGACGGAGCGGCAAACTTAAGATTGGTATACCGGACACATGTTGGACTTTTGTTAGCAGGTGGCAGAGGGACACTGGCAGATAATTCGGACACGATGGACTTTCAAGGGATGAGAAACTCTTTTCCGCTAGACACCCGGACCAGCTCACCGAGGCCCGTCCCCTACGTTGTTTCGTTGTGTCCAGAGCCAGCTCGAGACCCTCTCAGCAACCTCGCCCAGCTGTTTAAGTGTCCGTTTGCGTTCATTACCGCGCAATCCTAGTTCTTTAACCAAATTGTAGAGTGAAGTGGAAACATGACCTATCGCTCCCACTTTGACGGCAAAGACTCGTACTGTGCACGCTTCGTCTCTCCTCAGATCGGCTGCTAAGTCATAGTACTTCTCGAGCTTGTACATATGGCTTTCGACCATTCGCGACTCATACGGGACGGTCAGCTCAGTCAGGATGAGCTGCCGTTTCTCCGCAGAGTTGAGAACTATGTCAGGTCGCAGGCCTGTCTTCCGAATTTACTCAGGGTACCTTTCATGGCCAGGCAGATCAACCGCCAATAACCAGTCCCTCGCAGAGTCTAGCATAGATGGAGCGAATGCGATTTTGTTGATTTTACCTTTTTGAATCTGCCAAGCCTTGAGGAAGCGTATGGGAACGATGGTAAGACTGGCCCTCGCGTTAGCCCTCATCCTAGCCTGGTCCACAACGGCTGCCAACTCTTTTAGCACCTTGTTGTAGCGCCAGGTGTATCGGCCTTGGCCTAGGGCTTTCCTGCATGCGGACATAATGTGTTCTAACGTCTGCTTCGCTCTGCACAGCAGGCAAGTCAGGTCGTTAGTCGCAGACCACTTCCCCATGTTGACACCGGACGGTAATACATCGTACGCCGAACGAACGATAAAGCTCAGTCGCAGCGGGGTCATTCGCCAGATCTCACCCCATGTGAGTATTCTAGGCAATGTGCTCTCCAGGCTGACCCAGTGGCCCTGCTGCGACTGTTGGGCTGCTTTCTGGACCCGAACCTTGTTTTCGTTGTCCCTTACCTGCTGTATTACCATGTTTCGGCGCTCTTTGGCTGTGGCTTTGGACTACCAACTGACCTTCCCGTGCCCTAGGCCTCGATGGTCGATTTGAGTGTATCCCATAATCTCCTTAAATTTTAGTGCATTCTGGGCAGATTCGATCGCATCGAGGACTCTCCACTTCTGACCAGTCTTTAGAGCGGACTGGACATTTGGGTCTGAAGACTCGCGCAAGAGCATGGCGAGTCTTACTTTGCCGACTTTAAACTCTTCGGTTATCGATCTGAACGGGAGTACCAGCTTAGCCTGTTTACAATACAGAGCCACGTCAGTCAGACAAGACGGTCACCAATCCCCTTTTGAAAATATAGGTGGAGGCAATCTCTGCTGCCTTTCGCTGGCTTGAGAATCAGCTGTACACATTCCGTGATTGTGAATAACTCACATGTTGAGAAAGGTGAAAACAGGCAATCTTCGTGCAGAGTGGCAAGCATCCCTTCAGAGGTCCTGGGTTGTTACCATCCTTTAGATTGTTTCTCCATGTCATGCCGGTATGTTGGGAAATGAGCAGGCCAGCTCTGCACCGCTTGGTGGTGAATTGATCTATGATAATTTAGATACTGTGAGGGCTCTTTGGGAATGAGTGAACTTTGCGTAGGCGCAGATAGATCATTACGATCTAAGGAGAATGGCGCTGCTAGGAGGTCCAGGGAATCTGGCCGTTGCTTAACACTCAGGGAAAGGATGAGACAGACAAGCAATCAGACGGTTACTGGTGCTATCGGAATTAGAACTCTTCGCTTGCTGCTGAAGACATAGACATATCACTTATGGCAGTGTCCCGAATTCTGGGATGTCGGTTCCTAATTCTACAGTCAGCTTTGATGTTGTCATGTCTAAAGTGCTAATGTTTGTATTACTGTACACACCGTGTGTGGTTCGTAATCATGTCTGTTCGCGCCATGCTGTCGTTTTCAGTCATTCATATCCGATAATGAAATTCTCTCATGCCATGATGTCTAAACTGTTCAATATTGTTTTGATCTCTCTGTCTACGTTCCCATTAAACGTTCCCATTGACATTACTTTAAAAAAAAAAAAAAATACTCATTATCAATAACAACACAAACAATAATACGTATAAGTGAAATCCGAAATGTTACTTACAACGTATCCTCATAAAGGGCTTTCAACAGTATCCATGGTATGATAAATAATAAAGGTAAAGCTGAAACAAAAACGGTAATAATACTTCGTAAATATGCATAGAACAATTATAATTTTTGTGTAGTTTCAACGGTTTACCGTCTCTGACTGTGAGATGTTCGAGCATACGCTATCAACCACGCCGTCTGCTTCCGGAGGAGGTTAGGGAAAAGGGGGAAAGGGGCGGGCTCTAGGAGTCTAAAGACCTTCGAAGGTTGCATGGTGTTTGGGTGTAACCGGGAAATGTAATCACTTGTTTGTTAGTAGGATATTGCGTATTGGTTGGAGGGACCGAAATCAACAGGTCTTAGTACCCTTAAAATTTCCTTTCTAGAACTATCGCTTGTTTATTGGCAAAGACATGTTTAAAAAAACAAATCTATAAATAGTATCTGATGTAATCTTTGTTGACTTGCTACATCAAAGAGAGCGCAGTAGTGCTCGCTTTCTGTCTATAGAAAGACACTTGTCAATTTAATTAGCATATTAAGAACTATGAAGAACACAAAGCGATCTCAGGAGTATGTAACCATAAAGCGAACACAGCGACCATTTTGAATATCATTGATGTTATTTATGACATGACTGAGGTATCATAACAAAGGCAGTATAGACAAGAAGAGTTGTTTCAAGGCATTTTATTATACAAGCATCAGAGACGCGAGAATCATGGACTAGGTATGAGAGACCATCATCATCACCACTATCGACACAATCATCTTTCTCCTCGTCTGTATTCTTCAGCTGACTCCTTCTGTAGCAAACTAAAGACGAATCTGGATGTGAAATCTATGTACACAGAGAAGAGCGCTGTGCCACATCACCCTCCACCATACATCATTTCACAGGGGATTCTAACATATAACTACCGTGCCGAAAGATACGTTTGCTTTCCATTCCCCTACGGCAGCCCATCCCGCCATCCCCGCCTCCCTTTGGGAGGGGGCGGGGGCATAAATGACTAATAGAGAATTTGATCCTCTGTTTGTGTGTGCTCGCGTACGCGTGCACGTGTGCCTGGACGTCGGTTGAAGGAAAGTAACTATACACCCCGTATGTCATCGTTGCCTGCCTGTAAAGACTACATTATCTGTTGGTACATTCAGCTCTAATTGACATCCACGATGGAGGTCTGCAGATAAGCATCTTATCTTAATTGAGGCTATTTATAACTTCAGTAAAGGAGCGCTCCTGTACCTTTCAGGGTTAGCCCTTTGGAGCACATGATTACTGTCATCCTGCCTGCCTCTTCCACGGTTACCGTCGACATGAAAACTAACAGAATCTTTATTCAGGCGGCGCTTTCATATCCGTGATGGAAACATTGATTGTGGAAGTGACTCACAGGGAGTCAGCTAAGTAGGGAATGTGGAAGTGACTCACAGGGAGTCAGCTGAGTAGTTAAAATAATGTAGAAGTTGCAGATAAGTCGCTTTAAAGAAAATAAAGTGGAAAGTACAGATAAGTCGCTTTAAAGAAAATAAAGTGGAAAGTACAGAGAAGTCGCTTTAAAGAAAATAAAGTGGAAAGTACAGATAAGTCGCTTTAAAGAAAATAAAGTGGAAAGTACAGATAAGTCGCTTTAAAGAAAATAAAGTGGAAAGTACAGATAAGTCGCTTTAAAGAAAATAAAGTGGAAAGTACAGATAAGTCGCTTTAAAGAAAATAAAGTGGAAAGTACAGAGAAGTCGCTTCAAAGAAACATAATATGGAAGTTACAGAGATGTCGTTTTGTATACAAAATAATGTAAAAGTTACAGAGATATTGTTTTATAGAAAAATAATGTGGATGTTGTGGAGAGTTGTTTTACAGAAACATAATGTGGATGTTGTAGAAATGTTGTTTTATAGATACATAAAGTGGATGTTGTAGAAATGTTGTTTTATAGAAACATAAAGTGGATGTTGTAGAAATGTTGTTTTATAGAAACATAAAGTGGATGTTGTAGAAATGTTGTTTTACAGAAACATAAAGTGGATGTTGTAGAAACGTTGTTTTACAGAAACATAAAGTGGATGTTGTAGAAATGTGTTTTTACAGAAACATAAAGTGGATGTTGTAGAAATGTTGTTTTACAGAAACATAAAGTGGATGTTGTAGAAATGTTGTTTTACAGAAACATAAAGTGGATGTTGTAGAAATGTTGTTTTACAGAAACATAAAGTGGATGTTGTAGAAATGTTGTTTTACAGAAACATAAAGTGGATGTTGTAGAAATGTTGTTTTACAGAAACATAAAGTGGATGTTGTAGAAATGTTGTTTTACAGAAACATAAAGTGGATGTTGTAGAAATGTTGTTTTTATAGAAACATAAAGTGGATGTTGTAGAAATGTTGTTTTACAGAAACATAAAGTGGATGTTGTAGAAATGTTGTTTTACAGAAACATAAAGTGGATGTTGTAGAAATGTTGTTTTACAGAAACATAAAGTGGATGTTGTAGAAATGTTGTTTTATAGAAACATAAAGTGGATGTTGTAGAAACGTTGTTTTACAGAAACATAAAGTGGATGTTGTAGAAATGTTGTTTTACAGAAACATAAAGTGGATGTTGTATAAATGTTGTTTTACAGAAACATAAAGTGGATGTTGTAGAAATGTTGTTTTACAGAAACATAAAGTGGATGTTGTAGAAATGTTGTTTTATAGAAACATAAAGTGGATGTTGTAGAAATGTTGTTTTACAGAAACATAAAGTGGATGTTGTAGAAATGTTGTTTTACAGAAACATAAAGTGGATGTTGTAGAAATGTTGTTTTACAGAAACATAAAGTGGATGTTGTAGAAATGTTGTTTTACAGAAACATAAAGTGGATGTTGTAGAAATGTTGTTTTACAGAAACATAAAGTGGATGATTGTAGAAATGTTGTTTTATAGAAACATAAAGTGGATGTTGTAGAAATGTTGTTTTACAGAAACATAAAGTGGATGTTGTAGAAATGTTGTTTTACAGAAACATAAAGTGGATGTTGTAGAAATGTTGTTTTACAGAAACATAAAGTGGATGTTGTAGAAATGTTGTTTTACAGAAACATAAAGTGGATGTTGTAGAAATGTTGTTTTACAGAAACATAAAGTGGATGTTGTAGAAATGTTGTTTTATAGAAACATAAAGTGGATGTTGTAGAAATGTTGTTTTACAGAAACATAAAGTGGATGTTGTAGAAATGTTGTTTTATAGTGAAATAATGTGAAAGTTACAGAGATGTCGTTTTTTAGACACAATCATCTGGAAGTTGCAGAGATGTCGTTTTACAGACACAATCAACTTGAAGTTGCAGAGATTTCGCTTTAAATATACTTGAAAGCTGCAGAGATGTATTTTAGAAAACAATTTCAATGTTGCAGATTTGATGTTATAAATTTAATGTTGAAGTTGTAGAGGTATTTTTAGTACAAATAGCCTGGAAACTGCAGATACTTCATATAGAATGACAATGTTGAAGTTGCAGAGATGTCGTTTTATAGAAAAATAATGTCGAAGTAGCAGAGATGTCGCTTTAAAAATAATGTCAAAGTTGTAAAGTTTTTTGCTTTTGTTTTTTGGATAGAAAAATAGACTGGAAGTTGCAGATAATTTTTATAGAAAGGTAATGTCAAACTTGCAGAGATTTAAAGGAAAATAATGAAGAAGTTTCAGATATTTCTTTTATAGAAAACTAATGCAGACATTTAGAGATGTCATTTTAAAGAAACAATTATGGTAACTTTCCAGTAATGTCATTTTACTAAAAAAAAAAAAAAAAAAAAAAAAAAAATAAAATAAAATAATGTACATGTATCATGGATGTGTTTTTATATCAACAAAATGTGCACACTGTGATACTCGTAATGATAATATTCTGAAATAAATTCATTCTGAAAGAGAAGTAATTAGTCGCAACAGAAGACACAAGTAAACTGGGGTAGATGGGGACAAACAAAATAACTAGCTTTTCTACGTTTTTGACAAGGTGCCTTAACTATTACCTCACATAAACCGTGTACTTGAGGTAATGGTAATTCCAACGTCATCGCAATCTAGTCAGCGCATAGTTGCTCCCTTCCTGTGCAAACGAAAACCACATAGAATGCCCAACGCTGTCTCTTTTAGAAATAATTTGACATTGGCTCCATTGTTAGCAAATCCAGGAGAAAACTTGCGCATTAAATGCAAAAGGCAGCAGTCACAAGTGCCATCACAAACAGACGGACACAATAAATGATAATTAAGGTCTATAAAAGCAGCAGTTAAAACAGATACCTAGTTACACACGCAATTAATGGCATCAGAGACAACGTGTTCAAACGAATATTTCCAAAGGATTCCAAACTGGGCCCGTCTTATATCCGGCCATTCCAAGCACTAATCTTTCAGATGGAGTTCTCTGGCAATAGACTACTTGTGATTTTATGAATCTGCAGTTCAAAACACAAACCGCAAAACACAAACCACAAAACACAAACCGCAAAACACAAACCATAAAACACAAACCGCAAAACTCAAACCATTGTGGGCACAGTCGAAAAACATAATATAAACTCTGCAGATCACAGTGTCGCGCCATGCCCTTAGCTTAGTAGCTGGGTGACATAAATATTTCCTTTCAGTCAACTTATGGAGAAAAATGCGACGGCTAAGTATTATGAGAAGCAAAAACTTACCACGACAAAAAGCAGCAAACACGCCTCTCTGACATATTGACCGGAAACAATATACTTACACCATCCCAGTATCATGTACATGCGAAGGCCGCGTCTCTCCGTGAACAAGGGTCTGGAGACCAACATGGTCAGATAGAGGGCCTCCACAAAGATCCACATGTTGCAGGCGTTGACACTGTACATGAAGATGCTCATGATCAGCTTGCATTCCCAGTGCTGGTGACAAAGGGGGTAGCCTATGTTACAGAGTTTAAGTGTTGTTTGACTGTAGAGTCAAATTTGGTTTAGAAACAGGGGCATTTTATAAAAGGGGCGCCGAAGAAAGGTGGGATAGGCTTAATTGCACGGGGGATGACTGAGCCATTAGCCATCCTCTTCCCGCAAATGTATGTGTGTTAGGAGGCTAAGTTAATACCCCCCTCGCCCCCGCCTAGTAAAGATCTCTCGTTTTTTCTTTAAACGTTTGTTGAGGTATAATAATTATTTGTCATTTGTTTTTAAACTTATTTGTCATTAGGATTATTAAACACGTAAACAAGGCTTTGGATTTTGAACGCACCCTTCCATTTTTTTACCTTTTCATAGTGTGACAAGAGCTGCGGAATGTCCTCTAGCTCCTGATTTCTTTATCTTGACCCCCCCTCCCCCTCCTAGAAAAGGAGGGAAAAGGGGTAGGGGGGCAGCCCCGAGCTCTTCTATCTCTGGAGGTATGTTGGACACATGGCACAAACTGATTTACTGACTTAAGAATCGGCATCATCAAATGTCGTTCTCTTCCTCTCTTACTACCCTCCTTGTCGGCTCCACACCTAATTCCTCTTTTACCCTTATTCACACATTCTCACACATGCTATTTTGTCTAACCTTGAGTTTTCTATCAGCTTTCGCTCACATTTTGTCTTTATAATGACTCTTTAGTACAGTACCAGTGTTCCCGCAGCTACCACCTTTGTACTCATAAATGCTTCTTGTTCTTCCCTCACTTCCCGCGTGTCCCAGACAGTATTTCCACTTGCATCCCTGAATAATGTTGACATTGATTCTTTATGTACGTTAATGCCCTATTTGTCCATTGGAACCTTCAGCAGTACCGACTGATAATCAGAACGAATAATTCCCCTTCTGGTAACTTTAATTTCTGCTATCTACTTCAAAGATGCAGTAACACCCTCCACTCACATCCCCACTTAAAATTGTAGAATAAAACAAACTAGGAAAAAAAAAAAAAAACGATTTTCTTTTCTGCCACGATCTTTCCCTTCACTCTACCTGAAAATCCCCAACCAGATTATTCACCACGATAAACAGATCTATGAGCAAGTTGATATCTGTAAAAGGTGAACAAATAAAATGTTAATGAAAACTTTGAGCATCATTGCGTAGTGCTGTATGTCCTCAAACTGCGCCTAGATAATGTTCTAAAGATCGTCATGTCCTTCTGAAGATATAAAACTGCAGTGCCAGTACTAAATACCCTCTTGGTTGTTTGTACTGTGTGAGGGAGGTCAGCTCGGCCACGCTGACCTCATACAGATGACTTGGGGTGTAAGGCATGGATGAATATGTGTACAACAGTAACACCCCGATATCTGCCTTTCTGGCGCCTCAGACCACACTTGTATCAATCCAAAAGATTGTGCAGTTTGTAGGGAAATCTATGAATCCTAGCTGGAGACCGAGCAATGGAGTAGTTGCTTTGTGTGACGCTGTTGATAGTCGGCTAGCCATTTTGACGAAACCATAAAACCACCTGCAAACAATGCAGTCTACTAGACAGTTAAACATTGTAAACGTAAAGCATTTCATTTTGAAGAGAACTACCGGTACGTTTTTTTTTTTTTTTTCAACAGCATCAGTTGTGTAAACTGTCAATTAACAACTCACCGAAACGTCTTGAACGAACTCCAGAGCACCATCATCTCCCCGGCGGACATCTTTAGCCAGGCCCAGATTCTGGACAAACAGGATGTCCTTGAGGAATGATATGGAGGCACGGAAGATGAAGGCAAGGAAGAGGTTGATGTGAAGTGTATTACTTTTGGAATGAAGCCGTCTGGTGACAAAGAGAGAGAGAGAGAGACAGATACAATCTGGGTAAGTTTTGACAACACTGGCGTGCACTTATCTGATGTAGCTGATTATGTCTTTGTAGACTGTCGTCTACAAAGACATAATCAGCTACATCAGATAAGTGCACCATCAGCACCGCTGATGGAAATTATCATGGAACATACAAACTAGGCGCACACGAAGCCCTCGTTTTGGATCGGTTGGATTACTGATTTAACAATTGACATTATAGTATTTAAATATATCTAGAAATTATATTATCTGAGGACGGAAATAGAAACATTGTGCCAAAGAGCTATTGTACTTATATGCTAACTGAAATCGTAATTAAGACGTCCAGACATAAAAAAGAGCATAGAAACAGATCATAACCAGCAAGTTCATACCAAAACTGTGCTACCTGTGCCAGACTTGGACATTATCAAAGGATAACCTACGTAAAATTAACACCTGTGAAATGAGATGGATACCATATGTAAGCAAACGAGCTTTAATCATGAAGAAGATTTTACAGAATTACTTTTCTCCGGCGACCAGGTACTCAGAGCAAAAAGTAGAGAATGTCATCAGAACGACCTAAATCAAATTAGTAAAAAAGGGAAAGAATATAACATGAAAATAAAATTACGAAGACAGAGACAATGGTGATAGAAAGACAGAAAGCCAATTTTGAATTAACAGAGACAAACAGAAGAATTAAAGTATTGGGAGCAATTTTCACATCTGACGGAAAACTGGACAGAGAAATTAGCTCGAAATTTGCCGAAGCTAACGAACTAATGGTGCAACTATCTCCCCACTTGACACACAAGCAGATACCTCAGAGTACTAAAGTGAATCTTATCAGAACTAACATCCTCCAATGAACATAAAATTGTGACAACAGAGATTAAATGCCTTAGAAAAGCTGCAGGAGTTTCAAGGAAAGACAGAATAGGAAATCACAAAGTCAGACGAATGCTAGGAATTAGGCCAATCACACAGGTCATCAAAGAACAACAAATGAAGTGGTTTGGACACCTAGCAATAATGCCCTGGTACTTCTGCCACAGCGAGCCACACTAAAACGTTACAACGGGTATAGAGCGAGTGGAAGACCTCGGAGAAGATGGTGATGATTTTAAGAACAGTCTTACAGAAATAAACATCAGTCCTAATAGTGCTCTTGCCAGAGCTCATCAACGAATCACTTCTTCTTCTTCTTCACTTCCTCTGTTACCGCTGTGGGTGTCGAAGGAGACATAAGGTTCTGTTTCTGGCTCTTCTGGCCGCCTCGACCATAGACACATAGTGCTGTTGTAGAGCTTCTCTTATGTTATCATTCCACATTGTTCTTGGTCTACCTTTTGTTCTACGACCTTCTTTTCTTCCCATGCATGCTTTGTAAGGTATGGTGTCATCAGGCATTCTCTTTAAGTGGGCTGTCTTTGTATGTAATTTAGAATTGGTTCTGTGCCGACTTTTTCTCTTATGATCTCATTCCTGATCTTATATCTTATGGTCACTCCTACAGCCCTTCTCAGACATCTCATTTCCATGGTAACTAATTTTCTTTTGTGGTTTGTTGTGAGTGACCATGTCTGGCACTGGTAGCACAGAATTGGAATAAAAATGCTTTGAATAAGATGTCGCTTTGTGCTGATTGGGATTGTCTTATGCTGTAAGAGGGGGCTAACTGTCCCATTATATGGCTTGCTTCACTGCATCTAATGTTAATTTCTTTATCCAATTTCCCATCTTCGGTAACTGTAGTTCCCAGATATTTAAACTCGGATGCCTGTTTAATGCCTTTGTTCTCTATTACTATGTTTAGATCAGTCTTCTTTTTTCCTATTGACATTACTTCTGTCTTTTCAGTGTTGATTCTCATATTATTTGTTTTACATTCTTCATTCATGGATGTTAGATGTTGCAATTACATGGCTGTATCTGCTATCAAGGCCTGGTCATCTGCAAAGAGTAATTCGTTTATCTTACTAACATTTTCATTAATGGGCTTGGCATTCTTGCATATACTGTCGATGTAGGTGATAAACAGCAGTGGTAATAAGACACACCTCTGTCTTACTCCAGATGTTACTGTGAATGGATGAGATGTTCCCTGATTTATTCTAACTACACTTCTACAATCCCTGTATAAACTTTTGCACAACGAATCACTACGCCAGTGATACCTCTCTTGCATCTCCCGGATGATGAAAACTAAGTTTAGGAGTTTTCAAGATGATTCACAGCCTAGCAAACATGCAGTCAACCAACAATGGAACGAAACAAAGATCCAACAAAGCAAACGATTACCAAACTGACCAAGCATCGAACCACTTAATAAGCTGCAAAGATCTATCATGAGGACGTGGTATCAATAAATTACTTTCCCATTTGCTTTTTTTCTAAATTTTTCCTGTCGTAAATTTTTGTTTTGATGGATAAAGATGTCCAGATCGAACTGAACAATCTGCTAGTATTATAATTGAAACACACTACGACAGCATAACCGGGCCTTACTGGTAGCCTAGTAAATCATGTAACTGCTGAGCAACAAAGGGGAAATGATATAATCCATTGCGGCTCTGCATGTGTGATATCTGCAATATAACACTGAATTAAATGGTTGGATACTTATTCTGTTTTATATATATATATATATATATATATATATATATATATATATATATATATATATACATATATATATATATATGTATATATATATATACATATATATATATATATATATATATATATATATATATATATATATATATATATATATATATACATATATATATATATGTATATATATATACATACATATATATATATATATATATATATATATATATATATATATTAGTTAGTTAGTTAGTTAGTTGGGTTATCATCATTGCACTCCGGACATGTCCATAGGTGCTCAGATCCTCCCCTCAGTATGAATCCCAACGTCCGATGGCTAATAGTACCAGTTCTGTGTTGATTAACAAGTCTTCTGACGTGTCCGGTGTGCGTCTCGTTTTTTGCTGTGCCGATCTTAATTCCCAAGTCTGCCATTCTGGCGAGTGATGTGGATTCACTGCCACCAAAGTCCTCTATCCTTCCCATTTCTCTGAGGGCATTGATAATATCAGCATGATCCATAGGCCGACCGTCGGTAGTGATAGCGGATCCAGCCAGCCTGTCAGCTCTTTCATTTCCATCGACGCCTGCGTGTCCCGGAACAAAAATAAAGGTGACTCCTCGCACAGTGGACTTCTGAATTGATTCAAGCCATTGTCTTCGCACTGAACCTGCCTGAACCCTCCGGATCATACTCATTGAATCACTGAGTATACACACGCGGGTGTATTTTTTGTGTTTCAAGCCAGGCAAACGCTTGCGTCACTGCCATCACCTCCATCGTCATGCTGCTGGTTGTCATGGAGAAGGCGCCGTTGGCTTCTTTGACTGTTCTGCCCGCTGAGCGTGCTGTAAATGCCCATGCGCTTCTTCTTTGGCGTATAACGGATCCGTCTGTATAGATTAGAGCATCTGCTTCGTCTGAATTTTCACCGATGAGAGCGTTGACCTCTGCATTAACAGCAACAGGATTCTCTTCTCTACATCGCCTGTTGAGTGTGACAATACAGGAAAATGTACAAATAAACGCCTGAGGCACAGGTATCCATTCTGCACCAGGTATGATGTCGGTTAGGCTGCATATTTGCCTAATAACATCTTCTGCCCGACCTAGCCATGATTTTTCCCTCTTCAGTCTGTCGCCCTTTTCACTAAAAAGTGCTTGATGCAGTGGGTGTTTCTTATCAGCACATATTTTGAGGTATGCCCGAGCCCTCCACATCCTGATCCTTTGGTTCATTGTTGGAAAGTCAAGTAGATACCTCATTGCTCCACAGGATGTGTCTCTTGTACATCCCAAAATAATACGCATGGCTTCATTTTGCACCTTCTCGAGTCGTTCAATCTGGGTAGCACTGACAGTGAGGATGGCCAGAGCGTATTCAATGGGGGAAAGGACCAGACCGTAGAATAGAAGCACCAGCAGTCTTTTCTCGATATTGGAAGCAGCCATAATCCTCATTGCAGATAGACCTTTGCGTGCTTTTGTTATCGCATGGTCAACGTGTTCCCTGAATGACAAGCTGCGATCGAACCTCACCCCGAGAAACGTCATAACGTTGGTTCTGATCAATACATTATCACGCATTTTCACTTCTGGTAAGTCCGACTTGACAATGTGATTGTTCAAAGAGAACCATGACACTGCTGCCTTCGAGGGATTGACATAGGCATTGGAACCATCACACCAGGCGGCAATTCGATCGAGTTCTTTGTGCATTGTGCTGGCGATCTCCTGTCTATCACGCCCTTGTCGATAAATCAAAATGTCATCAGCAAATGACAAAGTCCTTCCCTTTCCATTCAACTGCTGCTCAGTGATCATCACCGTATAAACGTTGAATAAGACTGGTGATAGCGGTGATCCCTGTGGCAAGCCTGGACATATCGTTTGCGGTTCTGAGGACCAGCTACCACATCTTAGTGCAATCTTTCTCTGGAACAGGACCGCAGCAATCCAGCGGATCAGAATAGGATTGACTTCTAGTTTAAGCAGTAATTGCATTAAATAATCATATGGTACTTTATTGTAGGCATCTTCTAAGTCCAACACTGCCGCACATGTCTCTTCTTTAATCTGAAATCCCTCGTACACATCGTAGGCGAAAACAGCAGCATTGGACCATGTCTCTTTCTTCAATCTGTACCCTCCAAGTGTTGATGGGAACTTATCATGTAGTTCTAAGCAGGTGGTCAATCTTTGTGCGACAATTTTTTCCAAAAGTTTGCCAACAGTATTCTGCATCGAGATGATTCTGTAGCCGCAGATCTTTGAGTGGTCTTTATTAGGCTTTGGTAGTGGAAACAAATAACTATGGAGCCATTCCTCTTGTATCTGGCCACTCTGGATGCTGATATTGAATTCCTTTGCCACGCTTTTCAAATCAGCATTCGACATCATCAGCATGTCATTGTATCGGATGCCGTCAGGGCCTGGAGCAGTGCTGCGCAATTTCTTGAGGCAAGTTCTTAAGGTGTCTGCAGTGATTGTGAAATCAGTGCCTAGCTCAGTGTTCTCGCACAGCATCGACAGTTTCATCTTAACCCCTATTCTTGCAGCTTCGTCTTTTTGGTCAGTTTGCTCCAAGTAGCGCGCAAGAAGGGTTTTTCCTTTATCAGCATCAGTTCTCTGCCATATCAGGTCTGTACCCTGAAAATCAGGGATACCCCTTGGTCGTGCGGCGCCGTGCATGCTCCGTTGAAGGCGCCAGAATGTCACAAGAGATCCCTCGGAGCAAACGCTTTTGCAGAATTCGTTCCATTTCGCTGTCTTGGCTTCTTTCGCAATTAACTTGAAAGCCACTGTCCGCTTGTTGACCTCATCTTTCAGACTGATCAGGCGTTCAGAAAGTGACGGATCAATTTTCCTTGCCTTTTGCCATGCCTTGACAGCGTTCCTTTTTTCTAGCCACGCTATGTTGACTGCTTCATTCCACCATGGTGGCTGGGCCCATCTCTCCCGCCGTCTGCGATCTGCTCTTGTATTACGTCGTCTGATTTTGCTAATGGCATCTTGCCCTGTACGGTCATATATAAAAGCAGGCACATTGATTACATGACCTTTGTTGCTGCTCTTCTCCACCAAGACGACGCAAGGAAAGTGATCACTGTCATGGTATCCCAGTGTGCTCCACCTGCATCCTGGGTGCAATGGAGGGAGACACTAGGGCCAGGTCAATTACGCTGTCAGAATCCCCTTGTCGGGTTGCCATTCGGGTAACCTTTCCGTCGTTCAAGCATACTAGATCGGCAGACACTAGAGCATCCTCCAGGTCTTCCCCCTGTTTATTGGTGATTACATTGCCCCACTGGTTTCCTCTGGCGTTGAAATCTCCGCAGTAAAGGACTTTCTTTTCCTCAGTCTGGAGCAAACTCTGCCATTTTGCTGTATCCACCTTTCCATTGCAGGCGTACACATTGACAATCACAAACTGGGCCGGGCCCATCACTTTGACTGCGTGTACTTGTAGGTCGTCATTATCCCACTCAGACATGTCCACCTCAGACACCAGTATGTGGTCACGAACAAGAATGAGCTGTCCGAGGTGCCGTCTATTGTAGAAGGATTGGAAGCTCGCAATTTTAACCATCTCGTCACCGAGGTGTGTTTCCTGTAGGACAACAATGTCGTTGCTGTAGAGGAGCTTCTCGAAAATGGGTCGGCGTTGACAGAACGAGGCGCAGTTCCAGTAGAGAACGCGAACATACTTTAAGCTGAGTCTCTCACATTTCAGTCGCTTCCTGCAGGCGCCACCGTGCTTGCCTGTTCGCGTTCTCCTTGTCCGTCTACGGGTTGTTTTGAATTGGTAGATAGTCGCCATCGGACGTTGAATACACCCTGAGGGAAGTCTGAACTCACGTGCATGTACTCCATTGCACGGTTCAGACCCCATTCCGATGAAACTTTCACATTATACGTGAGCGAAAATAGGTAATTTGCGCCATTCGCCTCAACGGACGAAAAAGCGTGCCGCCATTGTGGCTGTTTACACCGGAAGTCATTTTTATATATATATAAGTCATATATATATATATAAACAGCAGTTATAAGTTTAAGTGGATTTAATAAAAATCATATCAATAGGGTGTCTAATTAACAATACGTTGAAGTTATCCTTTTCCTACTGCGTGGTGATGACATCATATGGGGACGCAAGTTCGAACCCCAGTGTGATCACTTCAGCCGTCGATGTGATGTTGTCTATTGCATCCCTATATCTAGACATTTCCTCTGAGTTTGTGACAGGAATGAGTAGCTTTAAATTAGCTTAACAAGCCGTATCAATGACCTAACTGTTGGGTCAGGCAACGATAAACTTACTTGCAGCACAGCATGATGATGAAGGCCACTAGGAGGGAACCGAGTGAGAAGCTGTAGCCGACTGTGTACAGAAGCCGCAGTTTGTCTCCGTGAGCCTGTATCAAACATCAGAAAGTGCATAAATATACTGGACACTGAATAGCACCACACAGAGAAAGTGATTAGTGACCCAGTATATCCTGGGAAGCATATATGGGAAGTATATCATCTGAAGTGTATCATGGGAGGTATATCCTGTGAAGTATATCATGTGAAGTATAAACGGTAAGCGTGATGTTTTAAACATCAGACATCGAGTGCCGATTGGTCTATTACAATATGAGTATTGTATGCATAGTGCAAATGGCCTGAAAATTAGAGTGTGTGCTGTGTGTGTATGTGTATGTGTGTGCGTGTGTTCTCCTTGGCTGGATAGTCTGTTTCAAGTTTGCCATAGACAATTCTCTTCTCGGAGAGAAATGGATAAACTGTGCAACTAAAACCAGCAAAGAAATAAATAAAAAATAATAATATGGATGACACATGGAAGACAACGACACATGGGGATAGGAATAGGGTGTCTCTGGATGAATATAGCATGAGTAAGCAAAGGATGAACAAATCCATCACACAAGCAACTCGAGAAGAGCAAGGCAGATTTATAAAACAACGACACTGGGACACAGCTTGGAAACAGTGAGACGACAAAAGAAGAAGAAGACCAACATCGACAGGCAAGCATACTAGTCACTGCGCCAATGTGGCTCCAGATTAAAGTATGAGGTGAAGAGAAAATTTCAGGTCAAATACACGTGGAAGGCAACGATACAGATGAGTAGAAATAAACTGGATCCTAATGAGTGCAGCATGAATAGGCAGGACGGGTGGAGGAGACACACATCAATGTGGAGGTGCGTCTTGAAGTGGATGATGATGATCAATGTACATGGTACAAGGTGAGTTACAACTGTGTGTACCTACAGCGTGAGAGCTGAGATCGATGGATGGTCGGATACATTCCGTGTAGTTGGTCCAAGAGTGGTTGGTTGATGGGTTGTTCCACCAGATTCCATCTTCTGTGCAGAACTTGGTGACATAGGCTGAGACATGAGCAACAACAACGTTAGTTAGGTAATTAGCATGTCCATAGGTGCTCAGAACATCCCCTCAGTATGAACTCCAGTGTCCGGTGACTAATATTATGATGACTTTAATGATTTAACCCATTGCCCTCGCACTGATTCTGTCTGAACCCTCCTGATGATACTGAGCGATTCACTGAGCATACATGCGAGGGTATAGTTTTGTGTTTCGAGCCAGGCGAACGCTTGCGTTACTGCCATCCCCTCCATCGGCATGCTGCTCCTTGTCATGGAGGAGGCCACATCGACCTATTCTGGTTAACTGACGTAATAATGCATTTAGGCAACCGTATAATTGGTGAAAAAAAGGTGGGGGGGGGGGGGTAGGTATATAATATTTGGGATCTCATTTTACAACAGCTGTGTTCTATACTGTGTGAAGCCACTTATCTCAGTACTACATTTCAAAAGTGTGTTCTGTGCAAGGGAAAGAATGCTGGTGGTTTGAACATGTCGTACAGTAGTCGTCTGATATTCAGAAAACATGTCTGTGTCCAGTGTGCTTTAGTGAGGTATTTCTTCCTTATTTAGACTTCGGTATTGTAAATGCCTATTCTTTTTGTCAAAATTGACAGAAAGCTCCCTCAATGGAGTCTCTTTCTCTCTCTCTCTCTCTCTCTCTCTCTCTCTCTCTCTCTCTTTCTCTCTCTATATATATAACCTTTATCACACAGGGAAACATAGGCCATTAATCAAATCATGTCAAGTGATCCCATCCTTTGCTAGCGCGTGCATCTCACCCCATACTCCTTACCCTCGACATGTTTAGTTCACATAATGTCGTTTTCTTGGGAGGGATGGGGTGGGGTGAGGGGCTAGGGGTAATTCAATTATTCATTGACCCTGAAGGTTCATTGAAAAAGACCTTCTTTTTATATTTGTCATCAGGTTTTCTCAACATGTGTCCTACGTAATGTAAGCGTCCTTTTTTTCATCACCTCTTGATTGAGAGGAATTTAGCTTTCTCTGAAAACCCTGTATTTCTGAGTGTGGCAGCTTTTGATTCCTTTTATTCTTCACAGGAACAAGATAATGCATGTTTATAGTTTATTAGCAACATTTGCAGTTGTTTACCAGGTTTTAGCTCCACACATCATTTTACAATTGAGCTAAATATTTCAAGTCTTAGTATTGCCTTTGTTTTCCACAGATTTCCTAATGCTGTTCGAAACATTTCAACTAGTCCACATGACAAACAGAAACATTTTTGCTCCATGGAGATGACTAGGACGTATCTCTCAAAACTGAGCTCACTTCCTTACAATTCTTACTTAGATGGGTGTCGATGACGTGTTTGTCTAGAGTGTCTGGTTTTTACAAGCTCACATCTTGGGTTATCACGTACCTAACCATTTCAATAATAGAAATCCCCCTCCCCCCCCCCCTTCCCCCATCTTTTCGTTGTTCCTGTCGCATGACAGAATCCACACACCTACCGCATTAGGCAGGTCCACAGTCTGAACACCCCCAAAATCGTCATTGTAACTATGATATAGGATAGGCCGACCGTAGTTATATAGTTCGTTTGTTGTGGGGGAGTCCAGATAAGAAAAATCCCTATAATTCACTCTGATATTGATTCTTTTAGGCTTTTAGTGTCGATTTATACGTTAGGACACATTTTCTACGCCTATTTAAAATAGATTGTCTGACCGCTGCATCGCATACGGGAGCAGGATTCTTACACCAACTGCTGTAGTTGGGGACTGTATTTTTATGCGTCACTTCTCTATGGTCCGGTCTATGAGGCAGACGTATTCATTTGTTGTTGCCACTTGACCGTTAAAAAGACAAGATTCTTTATTCTCTTTCCATTTATCATGGGATTTCTGAAGATCCAACGAGCGTCCGTGGTCTAATTGAGTGCTTCCACCTACCACCACCCAAGAAGCAACTGACGTGTGGTGAATTGCTGTTGCTGAATGTGTAGACGGTACTAGAGTCGACATCTTCCGATCTCGAGTTGATTGTCCTTGATCAATTCCAAAGGCCGCAACGTTCTTGTGTAGTCGGTCTGTGAAGTGAGGTGGTCTGAAACTCCATTCCGGCATCCTGAGGAGCTACAAGATCTAAACAGATAAGTCAGAGTGACATTCAGAGGCAGCTTGATTCCAAATGGGCCTTTATAATCTGTCCCACACCTCAGCTGTGATGATACCGGAAAGAGACGTAGATTAGGAGGAAGACTCTTTCTCTGTCTTTGTTCTTTAGAGAATTCAACAATCTTTCATTTGATTCTTCGTGCTACTTTTGATCTTTCTTGTTATGAAGTAATTAATACAGTTAAATTATAGTTCACCAGTCTTGCTGTTCTTAACTAAATCGCTGTGGTGAATTAATTGCCATAGTCAGAAAGGTATTCACGTGTTGTCATTTTCACTGTTGTTTACTTATTTGACTGTGTTTACATTGTTACCAGTCTGGGGGCAAATTAGTGATGAGGACGTCTGGCCGAGAGGTACCCAAGTGTTCATAATAACCCTGTGGAGTCAGAGCTCGAGTCACCTCATCCCTGAGACAGGTTGAATGGAAAGTTTGAACCGAGGGTTAGGACTCTAGACGAACGAGAGCCACCATTCAAAACACTCCTGTCTCAGAGCACCTGAGGGATTTGTGAAAATATTCCGTAAGTAAAGGTGCGCAACAAAACTGCCATACCACAGTTCCTAAGTCACAAGTAAGTCATAAATAGTTGTTTAAAATGGAAAAAAAGAAACACACACACATAAAGACGATAACAACTTGAAAACGATTTTTTTACACCTACACTCTCCCTGTAATTTTCATTATAATTTACACCAACATTGATGCACTTGTCCCATCGTATGATCAGCCCTCCCAAACCTGCTATATAGAACTGCGTGCTAACATTTTCACTTTACATTCGGCTTCTGCGTCATTCGTGAAATGTTTCCGGCAAGGTGTGTTTTCAGTAGACCAAAAACATGTGAGCACACTATTGCAGCTTCTACAGAGTCAACCTTTAGTCGCCCGTCACCTCTAATCATCTCGTCCACTCGCTGCACGGATGCGTCTGTTGCAATCTCAACAGGACGACCCGATCAAACTTCTTCAACAATAGTAGAGCGTCCTTGCGAAAAATTATGCACCCATCTGTGCACCAATTTACGGGAAAGAATATTTGTTAGCATGATCAGGAAGCATTGGCTTATTAATGATTTTTGCAAGAAGCCCGTCCCATTTTTCAGCTCCCCCCCCCCCCCCCCACCGCCCCACCCCAAAATAAAACACACAAAAGCATGGTACACTCCGTAAGTACAGTTGCTATTTTGGTTCTGTGTTGCGCGTGCGCATGCAACACCTAGTGTCACCTAACGAGCGGGGAAATAAAGTTCGATGCTGCTGACATCTAATGATGCCTTTAGAAACCAACACCACATTTTCTGCCACCTCATAACCGTTTGTGACCTACTTATTGACTTTCCCTCGTATATGTGTGTGTGCGTGTGTGTGTGTATATATATATATATATATAATATATATATATATATATATAAGATATATATATTATATATATATATATATATATATTCATAAATTAAGTATCCAGAAACCAAGAGTTGTTAACGCTTTGGATCGGTAGTATAGATATCGCAACCATATGTATAGCTTAAATCTGGAAAAATGGCTGCTTTTCTGCCTACCCCGGGGGTGAATCTGGACCACAAAGAGTTCGTCAACCGGTCGCTGCTCAGTCGGGTATAACGAACTGCGCTAGCAGGCCAGGCATATATATATATATATATATATAATCTTGACACGCAGATATCCCTACACGCATTGTATCTTTATAGGCAGTGCATCATCGAGATTATGAAACTGAACTCCTTTTGTTTTTGTGTGTAAACCAGGGAAGGATAAAGTGGTCAGCGTTTTTGCTGCCGCCGTTACTTCAAGGACCTGACCTAGTGCCTATTACAGGCTTTCTTGACCTGGGAGCCAAGATCGTGTTTTGAAGAAAACCATCCTGCTCCATGTGGATATAAACACTCGACTTTCAGTTCCACATGCAAGCTGTCAGCTGCTACACAAGGGTGGTTATCAAAGCTGTAATATGTTCTCTAATTTTTGTTCTGATGTACTCTGTAATGTCACCCACTGGATGATGTGATACATAGCACACTGACCCCGTTTACTTCCAGTGATATTTCCTGGCCATCAGTTATAGGTAAAACATCGACCTTAAAGGGATTCGAAGCTATGAAAATAGCCTAATTTCTACAGTAGAATCAGTCAGGGGCGCTGATACCAGGAAAACACGGGGAAGGGATTCAAGCCTTTTATTGGGGCGCTGACACCAGGAAAACACGAAGAGGAATTCAAGCTTTTAATTGGGGCGCTGATACCAGGAAACATGGAGGAGGGATTCAAGCCTTTAATTGGGGCGCTGACACCAGGAAACATGGGGGAGGGATTCACGCCTTTTATTGGGGCGCTGACACCAGGAAAACATGGAGGAGGGATTCAAGCCTTTTATTGGGGCGCTGATACCAGGAAACATGGGGAAGGGATTCAAGCCTTTTATTGGGGCGCTGACACCAGGAAAACATGGAGGAGGGATTCAAGCCTTTTATTGGGGCGCTGATACCAGGAAACATGGAGAAGGGAATTCAAGCCTTTAATTGGGGCGCTGATACCAGGAAACATGGAGAAGGGAATTCAAGCCTTTAATTGGGGCGCTGACACCAGGAAACATGGGGGAGGGATTCAAGCCTTTAATTGGGGCGCTGACACCAGGAAAACATGGTGGAGGGATTCAAGCCTTTTATTGGGGCGCTGATACCAGGAAACATGGAGAAGGGAATTCAAGCCTTTAATTGGGGCGCTGACACCAGGAAACATGGGGGAGGGATTCAAGCCTTTAATTGGGGCGCTGACACCAGGAAACATGGGGGAGGGATTCAAGCCTTTAATTGGGGCGCTGACACCAGGAAACA